TTCTACAATAATACATGGATATTTTCGACAAAAAGACAGAGAGATACATTGATTCGTCATATTTTGTAGTTTCGGTGCTCTCAAAAAATCTCATAAAGTCGAACAAAAATCCCTACAAAAATCTATTTTTTCACGTGTTCCTGATTTAAACTTTTCCTAAAATGTTGATATAACCTAGATTTTTAGGAGTTTTTTCGAATGAGCTATCAAAAAATATAGAGTCCCGTGCAAAATATGAGGGTTTTGCCCTGTTGAAGCTCAAAACGCGTATGGTTCTTCAATAAAATCTTGTAGATTTTTCAGCGGTTTTTGAGCGCGCGCTCATCGTGGGCTCAATTCGAACGTTCAAAAGTAGGCAGCCACCTTAAACCATTCCAAGTTGTTTTGACTCTAGGTAGAACAAGAACATATAAGACATCAACCAGAAGTGTGAATAACTTTTCTTTAATGTTCTGTTCATTGGAGATTTCATTTAAATTATTGTCAGTAAAGTCAACTCATCCACAGGGAAGACAGAGTTTGAAGATGCCCAGTCCCTAAAGTGAAGTTATTTACACTTCTGGTTGACGTCGCCGTSGCAACGCATTAGAATAGGTGTATATGGTAATGCATTGTTGGCTATTGTAAAAATAGTACGAGTATTAGTTACATTAATGGTAAGGGGAAGGTTGGGAACAAAGGTTTGATACAGCCAAAAATGCATGGGACCACATTAATATTTGTTCCAAAAGGCTGACAGTAAATAGGGGTTGGGTTCTGGGACATGGTCGTTCATTGGGACGCAACAAAATGCCTTGCTTTTCAGGGATGATGGTTTATTTCTGGTTTTTGACATAAATTCATAGTTATGTGGAGCTTCATTTACTCTCAAGGCATGAATTCATTCCTTTGCATACTGTTTTTCAATTCCTGAATGGGATATTTACAACAGTAAAATCTTCAGCAGCTATAATATTATCMCTTTGAAATGCTATCTTTCCTTGATCTAGCAATTTTGTCAGAGTTGGTGAATCTGAATTCTCATCTTCATCTGATGGATTCTTGTATCTTTGACTAAAATGTGTAAGGATGAGTTTGTTTGCTTGTATKTTCTTTGCAAACTGGCCTGCCATTCCTGTAAACAGAATAAATAAAACATTTAACAAAGATGGTACCTGTCTATGTAATAGTTGTCTTGTACAAATAATCTGTAAAACTGTCAAAGTTGGAAACCGAGGGTAAGTGTAGCAAAAATGCAATTGTCCCTGACCTCCAAGGTCTCTGTTCACTGAACATGTACAGGAGACCCTGGATTTCTAAGGTCTGGTGCCCTGGCGAGGGGCCCTCATCCCCCAGAATCCAGGCCTGCTATGCAGGCTTGTCTCAGGTTTGATTCCTGGACTCAAGCAGCAGAACATGGGAATATATTGTGTTGGGTCTCTCACTTATAATTAAAGGGTTTTTTTTCTGCAGGTTCTTGGTTTTTCTCCCTCTATGAAACCTAATGCCCTGACATAGATCAGCTAAGGCTCAAGTTAAACGTTGAACTTATTCACATGAGGCAAACCTAATTGAAACAATGGATAAAAAGGTGGTCTTCTTTGAAACATCTCCCCTAAATAATTGCTTACTTGGTGTGGAGTGTCCAAACTCAATAGCCTTCTCCTCCAGCTCATCCTTCTGTGTTGCTTCATGCACCAAACAATCACAGTTCATGGCAGCACTTGTAATTTTCATTGAATMACTTGTATCTCCCAGAATAACAATCTTCCGTCCTGGCCTCGATGGACCTATCACCTCATCTGGGGTAACTAGAGTTCCRTTAGGTGCCATAATGGATTCACCTTGCTTTATTTTTGCATATAACGGTCCAGGAGGAATTCCTTTCTTCCTCAACAAGACTGSATCTAATCTACCAGGTATTTCATCTTCTTTAATGACATATCCAAAACAAATGGTTCTATGTTTGAGCGGAGCAGCTTGAATGCTGAGGTTGCCTTCCCTGCAGACTTCCCACATTTTGTTCTTTCCTTTGAGGATTGTTTCTCCTGGGAGTTCATCTGGGTGTAAGAAGTTGTCGGCATGGTGCACGTTGTTAGGAAGTTCCCCTCCAAACTCACCCTTTAGGGACTCTATTAATAAAATAAAGAKATTGTATTGTAGTTGCAGGGGCAGATCCAGGGAGGGGCAAAGGTGGGCTGTAGCACCCCCTTCAAGCATATATAGTTTTGTTTGATCAAAGAAATGGATTTACAGTAAAATGAGCTGTTACTTACAAGTCCACACCCCTTATATTTTTGGCTARGTCTGTCCCTGAGTTGTGATGCYARGRAAGAMTTCGTATGATAGAAGAGAAGAAAGGGAAGAGTGATACTGGGAAGAGGGTGTAACCCCTTTATTCTTGACCCCTCTCCCCTCCCCCATGCAGTGACCCTYTTAGACCCTTCTCTGATTGGTTATAAATTACCTGACARTTGAAGCTCATGAACAAGATAMTTATATCCCAGCCTTGATTGAGAAATTTCTAAARATGTTCTTATAAATTTACGAAGTCCAACGGGCCCATAAACCTCTATTGGTGCTTTATTCTCAGGACAATTTTGTCCTGTTGTACACAGGAACCCCGGTAGCCCAAACACGTGATCACCATGAAGATGAGTGATGAATATTTTACTGATACGTCCTGGTTTGATGGAGCTCTTCATAAGCTTGGTTTGGGTGCCTTCRCCACAGTCAAACATCCAACAGCTATTTTCATGTCGTAGAACAGTGCAACTAGCTCCTCTGTGAAGAGAAGGATAACACGATCCAGTTCCAATAAAATGTAGTTCCATCATTTTGAAACAACCTCGAAATAATCTCATAGACGTTGTTTTTATCTTAGTGTCCTTCGAAATTTCAAGTCATTATTTTTGTAGGAAGCCGATATTTTCTTGTAGGACAGCGAAGAAAACCATGACATTGAGTGATGAAGCAACAAAAGGGTGAAAACACAGGAAGCCCAATAAATCAAAAGATTTGAAAACAAATTTCGTGCAAAGTTTATCTACAGAAATCTTACATTCTTAAAAAAAAATTTAACTGATTAGCGCTTTTATATACAACGCTTTTTAATAGGTTTAGCTTCCCAAAGCTAGAGATTTTATCCCGGTATTAAACGTTTTCCACTACTTCCGGTTGGGTTTCCTGTGTCAAAGGTTGCGCATGCTTAGATGGTAGTAAACAAATGAACGCGCCTGCAGTTTAACCGCTCGGATTGAAAAAAGTGTTGAACTTTAGAAAATTTCTTACTAAGAATCCCTCGAAATTTTACCGAAATTCTTCTTGAATTCGAGCCTTTGAGATGCCTATAATGGATGGAGAAGAAAGTGGGGATGAAGAGGTGGAAAGAAGCCCAAACGAAGAGGAAAATGGTAGCGAAGAAGATGAAGAAGACGACACCATGTCTTCTGCCTCTGAGGACTCTTCGTCTGACTCGAGTGAGTAAAACTTCACAAAACTGCTACTTTTTTGAGCATTTTTGAGGACGATATAAATGGTTTCTTTGTGTTTTGATTGTAGTTGATGAGACTGAAAATGAAAGACGGAGAGCTGAGTGCCTGGATGATATGGCAGACTTGGAAAGACAGTTCGTGGAGTTAAAGGAGCAGTAAGTTGTAACATTATTTTATACTTTTCATTTTCAAATACACCCAAGAATCAACACTAGAGGTCTAATTTTTAGCATGAAAAAAACCCCAGCAATTTAGAAATCTCATTAAAATGTGAGCAAAAGATGAAGCAATCATATTCTGATTTATTTTTCTCTAACATTGCATTGTGCCTTCGCTTATAGACTTATTATACATTAGCCAATCAGAATGCATGCACTGAATAAAATTTTCTTTCAGGCTTTATTGTGAACGCATCAGCCAAGTAGAGAAAAAACTTGATGAAGTTGCTTCAGGTGAGTTGCTGAAAATCTTATAGCTCGTTTATGTTGACGCATATTGTAATAGACCTAATCCACTATTTTCCCATTTCAGACCACGTGTCATTCTGTAGAGTATAATTTCTTTGTTTAACAGTTGCACACCAGAAGACACATGAGTATGGATATAACCCGAACAGAGAATCTTATTGTCAAGAGAGTGACATGTAGTCTAAAATGGGCAAAACATTACGCCCAAGTGAATTTGGTCCATTTAACTGATAACATTTAAATGAGATTATAAATAACCTACTCTCCCCACTGATAATGTCTCACTTGATTCTGATGGAGATCATAACATCAATCCTGGGGGAACTGAAACAATATTTCTTGAAATAGGGGGTATAACATTATGCCCACTCTGAGAGGGATGGAAATTTGTTCGCACTGAAGTTGCGCTCTCCCACTTACTATGAAGAATGATAGTTTTACAGAAAATTCTAATCCTGTATGTATTTTGTGTAAAAAGGTCTAGCAACTGAATACAATGGACCATTAGCAGAATTGAAAGAAATGTGTGAGATAAGACTAGAAGTAGCTGGTAAGTAGTCTTGATGCTCTTGGTATAAAAGCATTAGAAAAATAAAAAATAAATAAATGGCTTTCCACTTCAGTTGACTTGATCTATTCAATTACTATCTTGGGATTCCTGTGGTACAAAGTTTTCCACAGGAGGCCCAAGCCAACTATATATTTTTTTTCAATTACTAATTTGAATCATTTTCTTTTTTATTTAACAGATATTCTCAAGCAGTGTAGAGTAAGTATCCACTAAATAAAAGTCAAATTTTTGACTTCCCAGATTGGGAATTAGTGCAAGTGGTCTATAGATAAATGCACAGATTATAAAGTGCTTTATCCCACTGACTGATTTGGTGTTTTCTATGCAGCTTGTGAATGTAAAGCACAAATATGATGCCGAAGAACAATCAGCAGTTCAACATTTTGAGGTATGAACAATGCTTATTGGCTGCTCAATCAACAATGTGACTATAGTCAAGAGGACTGAACCAAGGTGTTGAGCCAGACATTTTCTGTTCATTGGCTGCTAAGGCTGTGTAATGGATATATAATGTATGGCAGAGGAGGGGGGGCAGGTGAAATCTCCACTGAATTTCACCTGCCCCCCCCTCCCCCATACATTGTGAGCGCAGCCTAACTCAACACATGGCCAGTCAAGAGGACTGGACTACAGTGTTGAGCCAGACATTGTCTGTTTGTTGTGCTGTTATTCTTAGCCCTCCTTGCTAATTAAATAAAATGAAAATTTATTTTTTGAACCAGATAAAATAGATCTTTAAATTATTGACCATTATTTTWTTAAAGAGTGAGAAATTAGCTCTGATGGAAGGAATGAAAGCAGATTTTGAGGAAAAGATCCGAAAACTTGAAGAAGACAAACACAATATTGATATATCAGCAGGTAAACATGCTTTAATTTMCAAAAAAGGTGAGATTTATACTTTAAACTTTGGTGTGATGCTTTGCAAATGTTTCAGAAATGGTTTATTTGTATAAACATTTTAAGTTGTGAGGTATTTTCATGTCTAACTTCTCAAAATGATTTTTAAATTTATCATTTTCAAA